CTGATGAGAGCTAAATAGCTTGAAATACATCTACACTAGTTTCCCTTTATTTATTTATTTATCAGCACAAATGCAATACACACACACACACACACACACAAACAAAACTATATTTTTAAATTAGGCAATAGTTTGTCTCATCACTTTACAAGCATCCCCATGGTCATGTGATCAAAATTCAGATGCTTGGCAACTGACTCATATTTATGATGGTTCCATGGTTCTGGAATCATGTGATCCCTTTTTGCAATCTCTTGACAAGCAAAGTCAGTGGGGAAGCCAGATTCACCTAGCAACTGTGTTACTAGCTTAACAACTTCAGTGATTCACTTAACAACTGTGGCAAGAAAGGTGGTAAAATGGGGAAAAACTCACTTAACTCACTTAATAACAGAAATTTTGGTCTCAATTGTGGTGTTAAATCGAGGACTACATGTATTCCCTGGACTATGGCTCCTGATACATTTTTCCAGATTAAAAGCAAAGGATGATTTATTTGTGGTAAGAAGATATTTGTAGCAACAGATGTATTAAAAGGATACACACTGAATGTGAAGAAACATGACAGAAACTACTAGGAATAATAAGGAATGAAAAGAAAGGATATATAGCTTTTTTAAAAAATAATTATTTACATTATTTAATAAATAATAGTTGTCTTTTTTAAAATTTCTTTTAAAAAATGTCAGGGAGCATTCTATCAAAAGTCATGAATGAAGATGCCCTCAAGATTCCTGAAGAACAGGAAGAAATTCTTTCATGTTTGGAGGAGAAATTTCCAGAACTTTCCTCCCGAAAAGACATTATCACCTTCCTTCAGGAGGCACAGCTGCATGCCGATGGTACAGCATTGCTTTAATTTTTCCCTTTATTCTTTATTGAGCTGTCTGATACTTTCTCATTAAATGTCTGCCAGACTCTTAACTTTACTGGAATAATGAGTAGTAATTGCTGGTTTAATTCCTAGTCTGACTTTTGGCTATAATCTAAACAACGTAAGTTATGAGATATGTCTCCATATATCTGACTTATTTTATATTCAGTACCAGTCATTTTGAACCAGAAATTCTGAAAATGCTTAAACAGTGTATATTCTTTTATTGCATCAAAGTGTTTCCATTATATATGGCCCAAAAGATAATAATTTGGGAGAATATCTGGACTTTTATATAGATGTAAATATACAGTAGATCATACACAGTAGATCATATATTTAATACATTGAAAGCCAGTTCTCAAGGTCCTGAAATGCAAACACAACACTCCATCATGGACTCCAGCTGCTACTGCAGCTCTCTCTGCAATGGGTTGTTATTTACTGAATGTCTTTACCAGGGGTGTCAAACCTGCACCCCTTGGGCTGGATGCATCATGCGCTGGGCACGCTCACCCCCATTTTAGCAAAGGGAGGAAAAGTTGTGATATGTCACATGATGATAATGTGTCATTGTGAGTTTGACACACCTCCTCTACATGAAAACATGTCTGAGTAAAAGATTAAACAATAAAAATGATCTGATTACATTGTAAATGTGAAGTTCTGTAAAGCTGCTGTCCCTCCTTCATTCCTTTATCATAATTCTTATGTTACAGAAATTGTTCTTGACTAGAGAGGAACTATATTCCAACAGGTTCCTATTTTGTTTGCATTGATAGATACTTTTGGTCATCTAGTTTTATCTCAGATTGACCAAGTATAGATGTATCTTGTTGATATCAAAAGGATTTTTAATTATCATATTTTCTTGGAAGAAAATTAGAAACCTTACTCCTCTTTTGTATATGTTTGTACACACATACACACTCACAACTTATACTTGACAAAAATTATTTTAAGCAAAACTGAATGGTTTTCTATCTGTTTCACAGAGCTGAGGATTGAGGAAGCTTTGATCAAAGATCTTAAAGAGGTGTCAGATGGAGAAATAAAAGTAGCAGTTAGTACCATATATATCAATTTGGAGGTAAGAAAAAATCAAACTGGAGGCTTTCACCAGAAATTACCTGAAGAGTAATTCTTATATCTTTTTTATTGCTATATGAATTTTTAAAACTGTTGATGGATTTCTTTTGACTTAATTTGTGATGTTAATATTCTAGAATAGGTTTTTTTTCCAGTTTGGACATTTGAAATATATTCTCAAACAATCCTCAAACAACACAAGGCCTGAATCATTGTATCTATGGTTGTCAAGACCATAGATTGCAGAAAGCCCCTTAAAGCCTGGTAAGTGCATTTCCTAATTAAACCAGTTCCTAAACATTTGCCTTCATTACCCAAAACCACTTATCAGAAAGTCCTTCTTTAATGTCTCTGTAGAAATTAGATAATGGTTTTGTGTGTTGTTACCCAAAGAAAAACCAGCCTTATCCAGTTTGGCTTAATTTATCTAGGTTTGGGAAGTATTGCCATAGGGCAAGGGTGCCAAACTGGCAGCCTGCAGACTGGATGTGTCATGCGCAGACCAATGCACACCCCAGTTCTGCAAATGGGAAAAAATGTTGCGAAATGTCATGTGACAGCAAAGTGATGCTGTCAGTTTGACATTCATACCATAGGGAGTGACTTATGGCTGGGATTTATCATTTTATTAACATTTTCTCTGTTGTGTATGTCTACCTACACATAACAAGATAGTAATGAAAGAAGGGGACCCAATCCTAATCTTACAAATAGACATAGCTACATTTTTTCCCATTT